GTGTATGACTGTAATTTATGGATACCTATTTTTAATGTTGAAAACAAAGCTAAAAACATTTCATGATCATAGTGGCAACTCTTTCGTTTTATTTTGGAATTTGGCAAATTGTTTACTTTGATACAAAATGGTGCTAGTTGGATGCATGATAACCTATGATGATGAGTGAGAATGTGGGATGCATTTTACTAGTTTGACTATTCATTTCATGGAAAAATTATATACAAGCTAGAAGAAGTCAACCACCGTCTCCTTTAGAGATATATGTCGGAGAGCTTGTATAAAAGACCAAGCATCTAGGAAGCCAAGTGAGATTTTTTCATGCTCGATTCTTTCTTGTTCGATACATCCCTCTCTGCATGATTATTATGCTTAACCTTTGCACGAGCTTGAGTAGTCACAGAACAAATATGAAAGAAGGAGACATAGGTTTAGCCAATGGCATAAAAGACCACTTTTATCAAGTTATCATTATATCCATTCGTCAAACGACGTCGAACCTAACCTCCTCCTCAGCTTACACCTTATTATGAACCAATTTCTATTCCTTGAAACACTATGTTGAATCCTTTTCAAAGTTTCACGTGATTTATGGTTCTAACATAGTATTCTACTTTGAAATAGAAAATTAAATTAGGGAGAAACTTTGTCTTTAAAAGTGACAAGCTTAAAATTTGAAATCAGTGAGTTTATTTATTATAATTTTCGAAAAACAAAACTACGAAAAGTATAATGGAAAAGTAGAGAGCAAGCCATTTGTTTGTGTGTCATTGTTGATTTATTGACTTAAAATGTCAATGCATTACCTAATGAAAGAAGAAAAAAGAGATACAAGGACACATAATAAATTAAAACTCAACATCGTGATTCTAAAGTGAATCCATCTCTTTGATGAACATCATCATCGTTAGTTTTCACCATACAATGAACTGGTCGGATTCTAATGTAATCGCGAAGATTAAAAGTATGATTGTACGGAACTAAACAAACATATTATTCTATTCATATATATAATTAAATTTTGAACTAAATGTACCTGATTACAAATAGAATTTGAGGGAATGATGTTCTGTATACTTCTTGATACTTTATGAAAATAAAAAATACTCGTCCTTTACAAAAATGGATCATACGTGTCTTTTCTACTTCTCAAACACAACTTTCATGCTAATTCAAATTATTTTACTTTCAAATAGAACTTAGGTTACAACATGCAATTGACACAAGTTGTATAAAAATTTATATATACATCGATCCAAATGCCCCCAACATTGCCGCATTCCCAATGGCATAAAAATCATGATCCCAAGTATGGATTTCAGGAACAATGCAGTCGACATTTGTGTCATCTTTAGCCAAGGCATGGAATGTACTTCCATATTTTTGTGCTTGGTCAAGAATGCTGCTCCTCTCGTCATATTCTTGGAATATTATTAGTGGAGGGTTTGTTAGTAATGGTGATAGCTTTCTGGCTTGTATTTGAAATGGAAGATTCAGCATAACGAAAGTTGAGAAGAGTACACATGTGATAATGACAGATGATGAACTAGGAGAACCCATTTATCAGATTCTTTTGTATTTGCAGGATCAAAACAGACTTAAAGGTCTAATGACGGTAAATTTCTCGGTTTCATGATCACCAAGAGGGTAATCGAGGCGAACCCAAAGCAAATGGAAGATATGCTCAACCTGAAGCCACCAAGGTCAATAAATGGAATCCAAGCCTTCAACGGGAAAATGGCCGCCTTCGAGAGATTTATCCTACGGTTCCCTGACAAGTGTTCACCTTTCTTTCAAGTGCTCAAGAATTCAGCAGCCCGACTGAAGTGGTGCGCCGAATGTGACAAAGCGTTCACTTTGCTAACACAATAACTTAGCTCTCCACTAGTCCTGAGCGCCACCCTCCAGGGAGAGCGGCTCGATCTTTACCTGGTAGTCTCCAAGCAAGCCGTGAGCTCTGTCCTTTTTAGAAGTACAGAAGATGGTTCAGACAAGCTGGTCTACTATGTGAGCAAAGCACTACTACCGGGAGAAACGAGATTCCTACCAGTAGAGAAGGCGGTTCTAGCCGTAACATCGGTAGCTAGGATGCTGAGGCCATATTTTCTGGGACATCTCATAACGATATTGTCTAATCTCTCACTCAAAGGGATCCTACAAAGCATGGATACCTCAGTAAGGCTGACGATGCCGGCTATTGAGCTTAGCGAGTATGACATCGAATATGCTGCCAGACCCGCCATCAAAGGGCAAGTGCTCGCAGAATTCGTTGTCGAAGACTTCTCCCTGGAAGGACCTCCTACGGAGGCCAGCAACAGAGTTTGGCGATTGTTCACTTACGAGGATGCAGGAAAAGCCGCCTAAGGTGCAGGGATCGTGATCGAGACGCCAGAGGGCGCGGTCCTTGAAATCTCACTCTGTTTTAGGGATATCAAAACCAACAATGTTGTTGAGTATGAAGCTTTAATCAATGGGCTTCAGTTCCTCTCCAATCTAGGCGCGAATGATGTACTCATCTTCTTCGACTCACTCCTGGTGGTAAAACAAGTGCACGAAGCCTTTTCAATCAAGGATGAAACTCTCACCATGTTGACCAACAAAGTTAGAAGCGCTTTAGCACAACTGAACACATGGACGCTTGAGCATGTTCGACGAGAAGACAACTAATTGGGGATGCACTCTCCAAGTTGGCAACCGCCATGGACTTTGAAGGAGACCAACAGGTCACTATCACAAAGGAGGTCGCCCCTCAAGAAGAAATTATGGAAATCGATGAAACCGAAGACTAGCGGGTACCCCTTATGCAATAATTGGAGCCAGACATCGCTACACATCACCCAGGGGAAAGGAAAGCATTAAGAAGGAGAGTCGCTTGCTATATCATGGTGGCCAGGGAGCTATGCAAAAGGTCATTCTTAGGAACCTACTTGAAGTGCCTAGGGCCATAAGAATCACAATGGACGCTCAACGAGATATGCAAAGGTACCTACGCAACCCATGTGGGACCTAGATCCCTCAAGTGCACCATTATCCTACAAGGCTAATACTGGCCAATAATCAAGAAAGATGCCTTTGAGGTCATCCAAAAGTATCATGCCTGCCAAATCCACACCTCGAAACATCACATGCCCAACTCGCAGTTGCAAAGCGGGATAGGACCACGACCATTCACTCTATAGGGGTTAGACCTCTTGGGACCATTCCCCCTAGCTCCACTTGGGAAAAAGTACTTAGTCGTGGCAGTCGACTTCTTCACAAAGTGGATCACGCAGAGTCATTTGGAAACAATCACAAGTGTCGGGGTCTAGAAGTTTCTGTTCAACAACATCATGATCCAGTTCGGCATCCGACACTCGATCATCACGGATCATGGAACTCAATTTGATTGTAGGCCATTTAAAATTTGTTTGTGTCGGGAACCGCATTACGTGCACTATGGCTTTGGTGGCATACCCGCAAACCAACTTCCAAGATGAAGCATCCAACAAGCTCATCCTACGACGACTAAAGAAACGCCTCAACGACGGGAAAGGGGCATGGATGACCGAGCTCCCACATTTATTATGGGTGCACCACACAACTTACAAAACTGCCATAGGCGAGACTCCCTTCGCCCTCACATATGGCTCTGAAGCGGTCGCCCCAGAAGAGAGAAATCCATCGTCTCTTTGCGTCCAAGAATATCAACCAGAAAACAATCACCACCTGCTGTTGGCATAGTTAGACATGGTGGAAGCACGGCGTGAGGCGGCCGTGGCACGAATCCTCCAAGAGAAAGCCAAAGTCGCAATCACCTACAACAAGAGGGTGAAGCCGCAGTCCCTGGAAGAGGGAGACATGGTTCTCAAGCGGGATTTCCAAAAGAAAGACGAGCATGACAAGGTGGCCGCAACTTGGGAAGGGCCTTTCCTCATAGGCAAAAAAAACAGGTCCTAGAACCTTCGTCTCGCTACCATGGAGGGAGTCACAATCTCCAAAACATGGAATGCCATGCATCTAAGGAGGAAATTTGTGGAGTGCGTTTAGAGAACATCGTGTAGGAAGCAGATAGAATCGCAGCGGTTAGGTTATCAAACCCACCACTTTTGTAAAGTGTATTGGTCGCTCCAAAGCAACCCATTTTGCCCAAGTAAATGAAGTAATACACTCACATTTTCGGCTAAACACTCAGAGTACTTCTTTTTCGCTTTCCAAAACCATGAAATACTTAAAGGGAATATGCCAAAATAATGAACCCGTGCTTCAATCCTAAACACTATAATCATTACCCGGCAGGCGATCCTCTCTCGTAGAGTCGCCTAGTGCTCCCACCAAAACGCTCACGCACAAAATCAATTGAGCACAAAGACTACATAGTATACAAATGCGATCAACCCTAACATAGACTACTACAACATACAGACAAGAAAAAGTTTCAACACAAACAGGTAGTGAGTGTCCACCACTCATACGAAAGTCAAGAAAGTTAAAATTGTTTACATTCAAACAAAGGGATGCCAGAAGGGTCATCACAAAATAACGGGACACCATTGAAAGGTCAAGGGAGACCTCAGACACTCTGCGACCTTTCACTCCCGTTCTCGTCACCCTCTTCACCCCGGAATGCATCCTCTTCATCCTTTTCATCTTCGTCCTCATCGGCCTCAGAGTTCACATCTGCATCGGTCCAACCAACAATCGCATCCCAGATCCTGTCCGTGTTCCAAACAACATCGGGTTGTTCACGACACGACAGAATAAATGGTGAATGATGGTCACCACATCCCAGAAAGCAGGACCAGCATTGGCTCGGGCAGCAACCAAATGTGACTCGCGGTTCTCCAGCATGGTCGCCTTATTGAGCTTGAGGGCGGCCACCTCCTTGCAAAGCATTTCTTGCTCCTCCAGCAAGGCCTTCTCAATCTCGCTAGATTGCTGGATCCTCTCTTGAAGCCTATCCTGCTCCTCAATAACCGCCTTGCGGGCTTATTTCTACACCAATAGCTCCTCCTCCTTCTTGGCTAACTGCTCCTCAAAGCCGCGAGCCCCTCCAGACACACTTCTTCCATCAGTGCAGCACGCCCTTCACTCGCACTTTTTCTAAGCTTGGCGATCTCGACCGCATTCTCATCCACGGTCTTGGGCAGGCGATCATTCAACATAATGAGTTGCGAGAACCCAATTTTGACTATGAAAGCAAATGTTTGACGAGTCAAGTCATAGCATACAAAAGAAATCATCCCAAAGTACGCAAGTACTAACCGCAGAAAAGAATTGAGTGGCGATCCCAGCAAGATGCCTATTGCACCCACGAGAATTGCAGGTGTATTCCGAGGGCATGATAAGTTGGTCTCTCACAGTGTGGAATGCTAATTTGGCAGCCTCAGTGTTGGTGGTGGCCAGGGGAGAAACCACTATAGAATCTGACTAGTCAGGCTGCTTCACGGCCTTGCCACGTTAATCCTCTGCCTTCGCATTAGAGGTACTCGCCTTGGCACGCTTGGCGGTCACAACTGGAATGCCCTGATCCAAAGACCTTTTTCCAGCACCCCGCGTTAGAGGAATCGAGGCCACATCCATCATGCCAGACGGATCTACGGCCAACTGAGCTTGCGAAGACGAGACCACGGGCAATGTTTTTCCTGCAACCACAACCGAGGAAGACGAACCACCAGTCTTCGCGGTCTTCACTGCCTTCTTCTTCTTATTTGGCCTATTACCATCTGCCAACTCCTTCAAACCTAGAAGAAAGAAGCATAAGTAAAATCACACGAAAGGGTGAAGCATAAACGCGGGCTACAGGGTCCTTCACTGACTGAGGAAATTGACTTAGGGCACACCAAGCTTCCTTGGAACCCACCGCATACCCCGTTAGTGGTTCTGTGTCTCCTGAATACCACTTCCATGAAGGACGCGTGAAGAAGTCTTCCTTATACCACGGAGAATCCAACTTGCGGGACCACATGACAAAACCCACTGAGTTTTCCCTCCTTCCTATAGACCAACAGTTGGTTGAATCCCTAATATTATAAATCAAATGGAATGTATCGAAGGAAGGATATTCGTTGAGGCGGTCACATGCAAGTCGATACATCACAGAATGAAAAATGATGGTCGGCGACATACGCCCAAGGGTGCATTCGAGAAAGTGTAAAACCTTAGCCAAGATGGGATCCAAGGGAAACCACAACCCAAACTTCACCTGCTCAACATGAATAGGGATCTAACCGCTCGGACATGACCCAGATCAACTAACCTCCTTGGGAGCCACATAATGCTAATCGGGAGGAAGGTCCAGCGATTTTAAACGGTAGAGTACCTGCTTCAGCTTAATGATCTCCTCATGTGACAGCCCCAGACCAAACACCTTGGGTGGAACCAGTTGACTGCCCACCATACCCTCATGTCGAAGTAAGGGAACTGCCCGACATTATTCTCAACGTAAACCTGGAAGACCGCCCGACATAAGGGTCTAATGGTCTCCTAACTTCCTCAGTACTGAGACTGACAAAGATACGATTCGGACTACGCATTTAATGAAGCCGGAGGCATTCATAGATGCCCGATAAAGCATTAAACGACATCATCCCAGCCAACGCTAGTATAAATACCCCCCCCCCCCCATCAATGGGTCACATTTATGGTACCTTCCAACAACCACTATCTCTCTCTAATTTACTATACTCTACTTCTCTCACTAACTTAAGCATCGGAAGAGGTCACACGCTTCCCCTGATAACATTTCCTTGCAGGGCACGACACGACCGCCCTCTATCGAAGTCTGTGTGCGGTCTGTGGAGCTTCACCAATAGCCTGGCACTAATCAGGCCTAAACAATAATCAAGCTAAAGAAGATATTGAAAAAATGTGCATAAGAAAATATCGATGTTCTAGTATGATAGACTTTGAGAATTGGATTAATGAGATGGAATTGGTTGATTATCGTACTACAGGACCCTGGTTTACTTGGGTTAATAATCAGCAAGAGAATCCTATTGCTAGGAGGCTGGACAGGGCGATGGTTAATATAGAGTGGCTTGATAATTTTCCAAACTGTATGATGGAAGCGATTGTGGCTCCCTTACTGATCACTATGGCATTTTTGTGGCTACTACTCTGGCTGTAAAGTCTTTCCCAAAGGCTTTCAAGTACTTCGCATTTTGGGAATCTCATCCTGATTTTTTCAAAATGGTGGAGGAAGTTTGGAGTGTGCCAGTTCAGGGGTGCCCTTGGTATAGAGTGCAGTGCAAGCTTAAAGCAGTGAAAAAGGCCCTTCGTAAACTGAATAAGGATGTCTTTGCAAACATTAGTGAGCAGGTCAAGGTGATGGAGCAACAGTTAATGACACTCATACGACAGTCACTTGATTCTCCTGATGAGGAAATATTAAAGGCTAGATCAGAGTTGCAAAAGCAGTATGATGGGTTGAGGAGGTAGGATGAGAGTTTCTATTGGCAGAAGTCGCGTGTGGATTGGTTTCCATTTTTTCACCAAGCGGTTAAAATTAGGAACTCAAAAAGGGCAATTAGGAAACTAGTTACTGAGGCAGGTGAGGAGGTGGTGGAGGTGGATAAAATTGCTGATGAGGCTGAGGCTTTCTACCAGAAGCTCTTTGGTAGGATAAATGAAGAAGTGTAGGCAGATGAGGATGTGCTTAGATCACTTATCAGAGGGCGCCTAACAGAAGAAGCTGTTCAAATGCTATGTGCTGTCTTTCGGCAGGAGGATATTAAGGAAGTATACTTTTACCTTAATAGTTCCAAAGTGCCTGGTCCGGATGGATTCTCGGCGGGTTTCTTTAAGCACACCTGGCATATCATTGGAGCTGACATTATTGAAGGTACGATTGATTTCTTTTCCTTGGGTCGAATGTTAAGTGGTATTAATGCTACTGCAGTCTCATTGATTCCTAAAATTCAGAACGCAGAGAAGCTAAAAGATTTCAGGCCCATTTCTTGTGTGAATGTTTTGTATAAAGGGGTTTCAAAATTGTTGGCAAATAGGTTGAAAGAGGTTATGCAGCAAGTGATTAGCCCTAACGAAACTGCATTTATACCGGGAAGGAGAATAATGGATAACATTTTGCTTGCTCGGGAGCTGGTTAGTGGTTATTATAAGAAACATCTCTCTTTTAGATCAGCTATAAAGGTTGATATTATGAAGGTCATGGGATTTCCTATGCAGTACATTGAGTGGATTAGGATTTGCTTATCTACTGCCCATTTCAGTATCAACTTGAATGGGAGGGCTTTGTGGATTCTTTAAGGCGCATAAGGGAGTGAGGCAGGGAGATCCCTTGTCTCGATACCTATTATGTTTGGCTATGGAGGGACTCTCGGGTTTGCTTTATAGAGAAGCTATGGCTGGTGCTTTGCCTTTTCATCCGATGTGCAGCAAGGTAGCTCTAAATCATCTATGTTTCGCAGATGACCTCTTGATATTCATAAAAGGGTCAGGGCAGGCTATACTGAAGGTGAAAGAGGTGCTTCACGTTTCTACTTACTGTCAGGTTTGAAGTGAAATCCGGAAAAATGTGAGATCTATTTTGGTGGAGAGGCTATTGCTTTTAAGGAAAATGCACTGGCCATTACAGGGTTTAAGGAAGGGGTTTTCCCGGTCCGTTATCTAGGTTTAACACTTATGTTAGGAAAGGTGAGCTCTACCGAGTGGGATATGTTGTTGGACAAAATCACTTTGAAGATCAGGTCATGGCGAGCAAGAAAGTTATCTTATTCTGGACGTTTACAATTGATATCGACAGTACACATGGGGGTCATCCAGTTCTGGTTTCAATTATTTGTCTTCCCGTAGAAGGTTCTGCACAAGCTTCAGAAGCTATGCTCAGACTTCCTCTGGCACGAGGAGGATACAGGCAAGGCGAAGGTAGCTTGGGAGCGACTTGCTTATCCTAAGAACGAAGGAGGTCTAGGCTTGCGGGATCTTGTATCATGGAACAAAGCATGTACTGCCAGAATGCTTTGGATCTTAATGATGCAAACCGGGGCCTTGTGGGTAGCCTGGATGTCTGCATACCGATGTAAGGGGAAGGATGTGTGGCTTGTGAAGGTTAATCCCTCGAGCTCATGGGCGTGGAGGAGAATCCTAAAGATTAGGGACTCTGTTCAGCCGTTTATGAGGAGGATAGGGGACGGGGGTCTTTGGAATGGGAAGTTGATGCCTCGTTACTCAGTGAGGACTATTTGGGAGACTCTTCGGCCGACGCAGTGTAAGCAGCACTGGTCTGCTCTTCTATGGGGTAAGTACTGTGTACCGAGATGGAGCTTCATTACATGGCTGGTCATTATGGATGCTATTGTAACTAGAACAAAGTTGGTACAATGGGGGAAAGTGGTTGATGCTATCTGTGTGTTGTGTGCCGTGAGTAATGAAACTCGGGAGCATTTGTTTTTTGACTGTTGTTTCTCGAAGACTTTAGTTCAAAGTGTGGGGAATTTGTTTAGCAGCAGTTCGTGGGAGCTTTGGCTCTCGGATGCGGGTGTGGTCGCAAAGCGGGGCACAGCGTTGGGGAGGCTCATAGGTCCGATCTGGTGCTTTCTGATTACCTTCATCTGGCAGGAAAGGTGTCGGAGAGTGCATGGTGAGGTCCCTAGAACTACGGCAGTAGTGCAGGACTTATGGAAGAGAGAGTTCTTTTACTTTGTTTCCTCATCATCAGTACTCTAGGATGATTGTAAAGCTATAGACTTAAATTGAGTAGTCATAATGGGGGAAGGTAGGAAGCAGTAGTGGTCGCGGGGTGAGTCTTGTACTTGCCCCTTCGTTGTATCAGCGTGCATTTTGCACTTTCTTGTTTTGGTAATAAAATGGGAACTGATTCAACGAAAAAAAACCAGTGTGTACTCAATGAATTATCATGTTTTTCATTTAACTTTGCCCTATCATGATTAACAACACTCCCATTAAGTTCCAAATTGTGCATTGATATACCAACCCGATTAATTCTTATTTATTATGATGATTAACCAACTGGTGATTTTGTTTTGTTTGATGATCGAGGAACCTAAGACATTATTTCTAATCAATTCTTGATTTTCAACGTGTTCATAACTGTAGGGCTAGCTTCCTATGATTTGAGAAAAAATTAACCAAAAACAAATAGTAGAATTTCTGTAAACCTTTGATAATTAAATTAGCTCATAGTCTGGAACCCTAAAACCACCTAGGATTCCACCAAACAAAAACGGGGTTAGTTACTCAAAGTTATAAGAAGAAAAGCTACATTAGAGCATCTCCATATGTGTAATTGCATTTGTTTTTTTATTGTTACTTCATTTTTTCAAACCAACTCATCTTACTTGCATTGCACCACATCAATGTAA